AAAGGAAACGAGGTCTAAACAAAGTATAAAATTGAAATTGGATGTAAGAAAATTAATTTGATAATAAAAAAAAAATTAAAAAAAAAAAAAGTTCTTGTAACAAAAAAAAAAAAAAGTCTTGAACATTTTTTTCAAACTTTTTATACTGTTTTTGTTTGCTTTTTTAAGAGTTGCTATTTTCAGCTACGAAATTTGATACTAGTCAAGGGAAAGACGACGATAAGTCGTAAAGTTTTCACGAAAATAAAAAGACTTGATACGTAATTTATTTACGAACTTTATCAGACAATGTATTAAAAAGCTGATTCATTATTTACGCTAGACAAATTTGGTTAAACTTTTTCATTTACTTTAGTTTTTACGAAAGTTTATGTAAAGGCGTTGACTTTATTCCCCAATACTTTAACAAGAAAATAAGTTGCTGTTTTAATTATTAAATATATTATTTCAGATTTTAAACATAAAAAAATTTTAATGTGAAAAAAGTTCTTTCTCAACTTATTCTAAACTGATTATACTGAGTCAATGCTCGTCTTTTATTACGTTGAAATTATTCAATTGCATAATTTTGTAATTACGAAAAAAGTTAAAAAAATAATTGCATTGCTTCTGTTGTCATAGTTACGAAAACAGTTCCTTCGGGACATTATTATATATTAACACTTGTTCACAATGTCTATTAATGATTGCAAAATAAACAACTCAATCGTTTGATAATAAAATTTTCTTTCGTTTAAAAAAAACAACAACATATTTTACTAATAAATAGCAATCGTTTTCGTGTTTTCTTGCGTATCAATACATTCAAACATTTAAATCAATACACTTAAACATTTAAATGTATTTACGAAACATTTAAAAATTGTTTATAGTTCTATCGTGAATTTTATAGTATTACTGACTGATAAAAGTCATAAACAAATTTACATTAAAAGGTCCTTTTATTTTCTTTAAACATTAACTTTTTTCTCTTTGATTTGATTTTTCTTATTGATTTGATTTTTCATAGCTAAAATAACTACCACCCTAAAAAAGTAAATAAATAAAATGTAGGTAAATTTTTTTTTAATAATCTACATTAATTTTTTAATTTTAAAGCACAAACAGATTTCTGTTATTTACTTAAAGATTGCTTGCATTTTTGCGGTATTTTCGTTTAGCTTTGTTTTGGCGCGAATTCTTGAAACGCATAATAATAAAACGTGGTCAGTTAGTCAGAAAAATTTATTCAATGCGTGGACAAACAAGGCGTGCGACCGCACGCCTTTCCTGGGAAAGCCTGATATATATATATATATGTATATATATATATATATTTATTATATATATATATATATATATATATATATATATATATATATATATATATTATATATATATATATATATATATATATATATATATATATTATATATATATATATATATATTTTATATATATATATATATATATATATATATATATATATATATATATAAAATACATATATATGTGTGTGTGTGTGTGTGTGTGTTTAGAGAAAAGCTACTATTATTATTTAAAAAAATAGTTTTATTACTTTTATAGATGGTAGAATTAACATATATGGTTATATTATAAATAAATGAAAATGGTTATTACTAAAATTTTAACTCAAATAATTATCAAACATGTGCTGGTCTTTTTATTGGTTGAAAATATTTATTTCTGCATTCAATCAGAATTTCCTGTTTCAAAAGATATCAGACACAAGAGACATCATCTGACACAAAAAACATCCTTGGACCAAAAAGATATTATCAGGCACAAAAGACTTTTAGGTCTGTAAAATATACAAACTTTTTTATTATTAACCAAAAAACTTATATTAAAATGAAGTTATTATATCAATCAATATATATCTGAATCTTACAATCCTAAATTTATACTAATATTTTTAATATTAGTAGAAAAATACAATACTTTCTAAAAAATAAGTATATTTCATTAAATCACCTTTTTAAGATTTGGTAATTTGTAGAAAATATATTTTCTTTAACTTATTGATTTTTATTGATTATAGTCTCTTGTTTAATTTTAATAAAAAACAAAAAACTGTATTGTGTCTATATTATAACTGTATTAGGGCACTTGCAGCATCTTTTGTTGATAAAGTTTTTTATTATAATTTTTAGATATTACATGAATATTTAAATTTCAATGCTTAATACTTTTATGACTTCGCTTTGTTTTATAATTTACATTATTTATTAATAATATATTGTTCATACTTTCTGTTAAACAATTGTAAATTATTAATATATTGTTCATATTTTATATTATATTTTATAATTCTATAATTAGTAATTATAGTATTTTAATTAAATTAAATTTAAAAATTATAGTAATATATTGTTCATATTAATATATTGTTCATATCAGTTAATAATATATTGTTCATATTTTCTGTTAAAGAATTGCAATTTAGTTTTATAGTTTCTATAGTAATATTAAAGAAACAAGCTGTCCGGACCTGTAAAATACAGGTCTTGGTAAATCTATTTCACAGCAACCTTTTCCATACTTATTCCTTACTTGAATATTTTATAGTAAGCATCAGAAAGATAAATATATAAATATAGAAAAACTATACTTATTGTTTACTTTTTAAAGCTATAAAAAAAAAAAAAAAATTAATTAACTTTAAAAAGCTTTAAATGTTTTGGTAGCTATTGCGCGAATTGCTATTTATCAATGGATTGGATGTCTAAGAGTTTTACCTGTCTAAATAATATCTAAAATACCCGCTTGAAATGTATTAATTAATTACCATCGGTTTAAAAAATTTCAAAAACCATGAGATGACTTATATATGTGGAATAACGGACTTAACATGACCCGTATACTTGTCATAAGTCTATTCCACTCCGACCTTTTTAATAAATTCGCTTTATTTCAATAAAATTTTAAAAAGAACAAAATATAAAAATCTTTGTATGAGTTAACAATTTATGTTCAATACTTTATAACTTCTATAAAAAACAGAACAAAAAAAAAAAAAAAAAAAGGTGGGGAGGGGGGGACCTTATTGTTTTTTTCTTTAATAAGTTTCTTTTTTTTTTCAGATAAAAATAAAAAATGTTTTTGATATATTTGACTTTTTTTCTCAATATTTATATAATAGGGAAATGAGAAAATAAATTGCTATTTATTTGTAAAATATATTATTTGATTAATAAATTTTCTAATGAAAGAATAACACGTTTTCTTTTATAAATGTATTTGTCGCATTTGATGCATGATGCATAAAGTGTTCCTTTTATAGCTCTTTTTAAAAAAATGTATTTAAAAACTTAAATAAAAGTTTCAAATAGAATCCTAGTTTTGTTAAAAAAGTTAAGAAAAATAACAATGAACTAACCCACAAGCTTTTGGAGCATCGTCAATAATAATAGTTCATCAGAAAATAAACTATCGGGTTTAAATGCACAACTTGTATCATCAAACAAAAGTGTAGAGTATTTCAATGGGTGTAGTGAAAACAACCAAGTATTCTATAATTAAATATTAGTATTAATGGCTTTTTATTTTTCACATGAAAAACTTGTTAAAAAAAATATTTTTTTTTTTTACAAATTTTAGCAATTAGTTTTCTCGCTTTCCTGTGCATTGATAAAAACAGTAAAGTTTAGCAAAAATGTTTGAAAAACAAATTTAAAAATTGTCCATGTTTTTAGTGCAAATTTCAAAGTTTTGTCAAAAAATGTTTTTGTTTTTATTATATTCTTATCTGCTTCTTTTCTCGACTTGTATTAATTTTGGCAGTGGAAAATAACAAATGTCCTAAATAAAAAAGAGTATATTTTTTAAGTGTATTAAGTATATATTTTTTTTCACAAAATTTTACTTTTTTTAATATTCAAGTTTTTTGTTTGTTTATTTAATTTAGATTTTCTACTTTGTATTGTATTCGTTTCCTTTCTTCCATGTTATTCACTGTTTTATTCTTTGTAGTTTCTTATAGCTTTATTTTTAAAATGCTTACTATATAAAAATATGGTCAAGTTGTCTAAAAAAATTACTTTAAGCGTGGACAAACAAAGTGTGCGACCGCACACGATTTCTAGCAAGGCTTGTACCACAAATTCTACTGCTGATGATACAAGCGAACCATACACTTTAAGATCTGCATCAGTTAAGATGCATGGTTCAGAATTAAGTTTACTCCACTGATCTCAAAATCGTTGAAACAATTTAATCTCTGGACCAAAAGATGGTCTAAAACAAGTTTTGTAAACATGGGATAAAATCACTTTATGAACATGGTGTCAACAGACTGTGTTGTTATAACCTAATAGTAACAATAACACCACTGAATATAATAACAACTCTAAGTAATAACTCAATATGTAATTTATTTATAACACCACACTACAAGTAAAGTTCTTGCTTCGTGTCTCTCAATATAATGTCCCGACCAAAATGGAAACTCGCTTGCACGTTTCTTTATTCAACATAACCGTGAACCGGAATTACGCAATTACATCAATCCTCCACCCATAAATCATTCGTACTGCTCTAAATAAGATGGTTTACAACGTACTCGACCTGATCTTCGGTTAATTGAAGAGGTTGGTTCAGAAAAAGCACCAGGCTGTTCACACAGTTTCTCGGGCTCAACATCCATGCTAATCTCATCACGATTTTCACTCAAGATTTCGCTTGAACATGGAGTTTCAATCACTTCATTTGGTTTATCAGCATTGCTCAGAATTGGAGTATTTATGCTTTCTGGTGTTTTAGTAGAGTTAACCTTTCCCACACTACGATTTACAATTTGGTCCACATGTCTCATCTGGATATGACCATCTAACGTTAACACTTTGTAACTAACATTCCCAACTGCTGATATAATTATAGCTGCAATCCACTTTTCACCTCTACTATAATTTTTGACGTAAACCGTGTCTTCTGGTTGAAAAAAACGAACTTTATCCGCAGAACTGTCTGACAGCTTCTTTTCATTGATTTGAGAGCTAACTTCAGGATGTAGCATCGACAAGTTCAGCTGGAGAAACTCCAGTTGTAGAATGAGGTGTAACACGATATTTAAAAAGAAATCGGCACAACTGTGTCTCGATATCATTTCCTTGAAAGTTTTTAATTGAATTCTTAAATGTTTGAACCATTCGTTCTGCTTGACCATTTAAAGCAGGATGATACGGTGCAGAATACAATGGTTTAATTCTATTTGAATATAAAAACTCTTTATATTCTTCACTCGAAAATCCAGATCCATTGTCACTAACGATCACTCGCGGTATACCATGGGTAGAAAATAATTTTCTGAGTACCTTTATTGTTGCTTTGGCTTCAGTACTGCACACTTCTTCCACCTCAATCCATTTTGAAAAACTGTCAACTACTACCAAATATATTTTCCCATTCATTGGGACTGCATGATCGATATGTAGTCGCTCCCATGGTCTACTTGGATATTCCCAAGGATGAGACCAGGTTTATGGATTTTTCTGACTTCTTTGACATGTCTCACAATTCTTTACTTTATCCTCTATTTCTGTGTCAATTCCAGGCCACCAAACATAACTTCTTGCTAAAGCCTTCATTCTACTTATTCCGGGATGCACCTCATGTAATTCCTCAAGTACCTTTTCTCTTAACACACTTGGCACTATCACTCTTCTTCCCCACAGTAAATAACCTCCTTCGGTTGATAACTCAGAAAACCTTAATGCAAATGGTTTCATCTCCACCTTACTTGGTTCCATCGTCAACCCTCCCTCTAACACTCTATTTAGTACCACTCCTAATATTGGATCGTTTTGGGTAGCTCCTCTTAACTGTTTTTCTGTAATTGGGGTTTTCACTAGTTCCAACATAGCCACCTCTATGGTTTTTAACCTTGACTTTTCCTTTGATACATCTAAAGGTAAACAGCTTAGATCATCTGCAGTTGCGTTCTTTTCGCCAGGACAATATAGTAATTGGTAATCATAAGCTGACAATAGCAAAGCCCAGCGTAACACTCTAGCAGCAGCTCTTGTAGGAAGTTCTTTGCTTTCTGAAAATAGTCCTAACAGGGACTTATGATCTGTATACAATGTAAATTTTTGTCCAAATAAGAACTGATGAAATTTTTTTACAGCAAAAACTAATGCTAATCCTTCCTTTTCAATTTGTGCATAATTTCGCTTTGCCATATTTAATGTTCTTGAAGCAAAACTGACAGGTTTTTTACTTCCATCATACTGTTGTTCACTCAAAACGGCTCCTATGCCATATGGACTGGCGTCACAGTGAACCACGATTTTCCTTGATGGGTCAAAGTGAGCTAATAAAGGTGCATTGCACAATATAGTTTTTACGCTTTCAAAGGCTTGTTCACTGTTTCTATTCCATTCCCAACTTACATTCTTCCTTAACAAATTATGGAGAGGCTCTGTGATGGAAGCCATCCTGGGTATGTAGGCATTGTAATAGTTGGCCATTCCTAAAAATCCCCTCAACTCCTTGATGTTCGTGGGTTGAGGCGCATTCATTACTGCTTCCACATTCCGTGCTGTTGGTTTACAACCTTTCTGACTAATTATAAATCCACAAAACTCCACCTCAGGTTGCATGAATGAGCACTTAGATACTTTTAGCGTCAGTCCTGATTCTTTCAAAATTTTTAAAACAGATTCTAAGTTGTTCAGATGCTCTGCATCAGTTTTCCCAGATATAAGTATGTCATCTACTTGCACTTTTACAAATGACAGTCTGCCCAGCCTCCTGTCCATCTCCCTTTAAAAGATGCCAGTCGCACTATGTACACCAAATTGAAGACGAGTCGGCTGATACAACCCTTGGTGAGTATTTATAGTTAAAAACTCTCACAAAGTTTCATCTAATTCCAATTGTTGATAAGCTTGAGACAAATCAAGCTTGGTGTATGTCTCTCCTCCTGCAATAGTAGCTAACTGATCAGTGATATTTGGTATTGGATAACTGTCAACTGGGGCTGCTTGATTTACTGTAATCTTATAATCTCCACATATTCTTAATGGACCAGTAGGATCCTTAGAATTCTTTAAAACAGGCACTATAGGGGCTGCCCATTTAGAATACTGGACTTTCCTCCAAACTCCTTGGTCTTCTAGTCCTTAAAGCATAGGGTACTGGTCTTGCTTTATAAAACTTAGGTTCTGCACCCTCGCGTAGTGGTATGTGACATTGGAAGTTCTTCAAGCACCCTAAAGGGTCACTAAATACTTCTAGGTATTTTTCTACTAATGTCTTCACTCTTGAATCAACCTTATCACATAAATTAATTCCTCTCATTCTTTTAAACAGTTCTAACCATTGCAGATTTAAACGCTGCATCCAATCTCTACCCATTAATGTGGGCACATTTCCTTTTACTACAGTTATAGGTAACTTACAACATTGTCCATTATACACTACTTCAACCAAACTTATTCCCTCTGGTCTAATTAGCTCTCCTGTGTAGGTTTTCAAAACAACACCAGAATTTTGTAATTTTCCTTCATTCTTCTTTATTCTTTTGTAAGCTGAGATCCCCATTACAGAGACAGCTGCCCCTGTATCCACTTCCATAGAAACCTCACTTCCATTAATTTTTACGTTAACCATAACTGGTCCAGTCACTTTATCGGACTCTTCACTTATTGAATATAGAGCTAGAAAATCATCTTTATTTCCCTCTGTTTCAGCAGTACATCCTTTTTCTGATTCATCTTGAATCCCAATTTTCTTCACACCTAATTTCTTTTCCTTCCTATGATCTAACTCTTTCTTTTCTGATCTGCACTTTCTCTTTTTGTGCCCTATCTTTCCACATGTATGACATTTTAAATAGCGATAATTACAATTGTTTGCTTGATGACCCCTAAACCCACAACGAAAACATTCTTTACTTTCTTCTGATTTTGTCCGAATTTCTACTTTATGCAATTCATCCTGCTCTATAAAGCTTTCTTTTGTACATATAGCTTTGGTATCTTTATATGCTGTCTCATATGCTCTCGCTGTGTCAAGTGTTGTCTCCAACGTTAGATTTTTTATGGTTAATAATTTTTGTTGCACATTTTCCTTATTTAATCCACAAACAAACCTGTCCCTTAAATAATCATTCAAGTTTTCACCAAACTCACAGTGTTCAGATAGTCTACGTAATTCAGTATTATACCCGCTTACAGATTCTTCATCTTTTCTGTCTCTTTTATAAAATTGAAAACGCTGTGCAATGGAGTTTGGTATTGGTTTCGAATGGTCCTTCATTAGTTTAACTATTTGAGTAAAACTCTTATTCTTTGTGTCGTTTTCATATAAACTTCGGATAAGTTTATAAGCAGGTCCTCCTATGGTCGATAAAGTCAGAGATATGGTCAGCATCTTCTATGTCATTGGCCAGTAGAAAATTGTCAAATCTTTCAATATATTCTACAAAATCGTCATTTTCTAAATCCAAACAAGATATATTCGATAAATGCATCATTTTTTTTATCTTCGTCGCCAATTGTTATAACCTAATAGTAACAATAACACCACTGAATATAATAACAACTCTAAGTAATAACTCAATATGTAATTTATTTATAACACCACACTACAAGTAAAGTTCTTGCTTCGTGTCTCTCAATATAATGTCCCGACCAAAATGGAAACTCGCTTGCACGTTTCTTTATTCAACATAACCATGATTCGGAATTACGCAATTACATCATGTGTATAATAAAGACTTTCCAATTAATTTTTTCAGCAAGGTAAAAGCACCAGAATGTATACCTGTGTTGCTTGAAGTATTATCAAAACAGAGTGCCACAATTTTTTCATATGAAATGTACCAATATTTTAAAGCTTGTTCAATTGGGTAATTTATTTGTTCACTGGTGCCTCTATCCAGGTTTGGGACTGACAGCAGTTTTTTGACATCATATCCTGTCTCTAATATGTAATCTCTAATAAAGTCAATCCACTTCTGCTGTTCAAATTGGGTAACAGTTTTCTGTCTCAATTTACAATGAAATGTTTGGTTTAAATTCTGAAATAATTCTTTTCGCAAATTCTTTACGAGTATTACTACGTGCACATCGAAGAGATTCATATGATGTAGAGTAATGTTTAATATTGGCGCCTAACCCTTGACAAATTGTAGACAAACCAAGGAACCAGAACAATTGGGAATTTTTAAATGATCAAGGGTTTAAAAAAACGACTGGAGTAATCACTTGCTTTGTTTCTGTTTCTTCGCTCTTTTTCAGCTTTAATTTCTTTGCTGATGATGGAATAAAGTCATCTAGTTCATTATCAGTACCTGGAAAGGATTCTAATTTTGTTAAAACTAGGTCTGTGACTTTTGAACACGTTTCTTCTTCTTTTCTTTTTAGCTCTTTTGTTTCTTTTTTGAAAATTCACAATCAACTAAACTCATATAGTAGGCCTTGTTTTAGATTAAAAAAAACTTAGCTCCTAGTAATTTTGATAATTTCCTAGATAACTAGTCATAAAATTATCTTTATTTTTTTTTATTTAAGGACATTAACCTTATTAACTACCAAAATAAAATAAATATCTGCAAAACAAGTTTATTTTACTAATTAAGAAAATTAAATCTAGAAGTGTTATTTTCTAAATGCATATATTATAGAATGTCTATTTTGTTATTTTGTTTTTTTAACAAAAAATATATAATTTAGTTCTGAATAAAAAAATATATTCAAGTTGATTAAAATTAAAGTTAATGCTTGGGTTTAACTTTCCTGTCAAACTTTTTTTTAAATATTACTAAATATTGTTCAATATTTAAATTTTATTTATTTTAAAAAATCAGCTAATTTTTATCTCAATTGTTGTTTGGTTTTCCTTTCTAAAGATTTTTTTTTACTCAAAATTAAATTTTAAATGAATGTTTTCTGAGGCTGCATCAAAAGTTTGCAGAAAACATAAGTTAAACTTTTTTTATAATCCAAGTTAAAGTGCAGCGATTATTTTTAATAAATGGTATATACAACAATATCATTTTAATAAATGGTGTTTGAAAAAATAAAATTTCATTTCACGACAAAATCATTAATAAAAAAATAAACTTTTAATAGATAAATTAAATAAATTAAATTAATTTTTTATTTGTTACTCTAATATATATACATATATATATATATATATATATATACAATATATACTCATATATATATATATATATATATATATATATATATATATATATATATATATATATATATATATATATATATATATATATATATATATATATATATATATATATATATATATATATATATATTAGGGTATGTCATAAAATTTTTTTTTAGAGATGCTAACCTGTCTATGGTCTAAAAAGTTGTTTTTTTATGTATTAGTACATAAAAAACAACTTTTAGGAAAGTATTTACTTTTATGGATTGAACAATGTCTTTCACCCGCAACTATAATTACAAAAATTAGCAGGCCCTATTATTATTCAAAAAAAAAGTTTTTCAAACTTATGTGATGTAGGTACTCAAATAAAGCGAAATTTTATAAAAATTTCATAAATAATAATAATTTCATATAAAAATTATTATTTTAGATTTTATTGCATAATAACTATAGTTTTTTAACTAAAAGTGAAAAAGGTGCATTTTTACATGTTTTTTAATAACAATTTTTTTCGGCAATATGATTTTTATAAAACGATTATTATTTTCGAATTTTTTATAAAATTTCCCTTCTTTTGAGTACCAGGTTGACCTACTTTTGAAAAACTTTTTTTCTCCAAAATGTTAGGGTACCAGTAATTTTCCCAATAAAGTTGCGCCCTTTAAATCTATCACAATCATTCTCATATTTGATAGTATCAATATTAATAACTATTAACAATGTTTAGAGCCTGTAACAAGAAAAAAAAATTTTATGACCAACCCTAATATATATATATATATATATATATATATATATATATATATATATATATATATATATATATATATATATATATATATATATATATATATATACAGGCCTTGCGATGAATAAGAACTGCGCGACGCATAAGCACAACGTGATTTTTGACGTCATTAAATTCTTTTTATTTGCTTTTCATATTTATCGACATTAACTGCACCAATTTACTTAATTACCGCAAAACTATTTTAAATCGTTTATGTAGAAATGTTATTATTTAAAAATATTTTGGAATGTTTCGTTTTTTAAAATGTAAAAACATTTGTTTATTTTTTCGACGTTTGTCACGTTTTGTCTATACTAAACGAATAAAAAACATTATAACTTAAATTTAAAAAACATTATAAAATATGCTAATATTTGATTTTTTTTTTCTTAAATATGTAATTTAAAGTTTTTCAAATAATTATTTTTTCTTTTTAAAAAGTCAGCGAGTAATAAACTGGAAATTTTAATATTGTACGATTAAAAACTGTGCAATAGCTAATATTTTTACAAGCGATTTTATATAATATTTATTTATTTTTATTTATTTTCATAAAGCGGTTGATAAGCACAATCACTCGTATTAATAAAAAACTTAAACGAACGTTTTGAATAGATTTTTAATGTTAACAAGGAATTTTATTTCTAGTAAAAAAAAAATATAATGTTAGAATAAAAATTTTTTAGGAATAAAAGAAATATTTCAGCCAAAAAATTATTCTTAAAAATTATTCGAAAAACTATTGACGTTCTATTTTTCAGCAGCTGTTCTTGAGCACGCTTCGTTGAGTTTCGGTAACTTTTAACATAAAAACGATCGTTATTATTTAAGTAATTTTTTTGAGTTACTTTTTACAAAAATTTTAATAACTGTACTTTTTTATTGAATCAAGTAGAATACGTTTTAATATTAATCCTTTTTTATTTTTTTATTTGCCCTCACCAATTTTTAAAATGTTTCCTCGAAATTACTCTTAAATACTTTAAATACGTCTAACAGTTAATAAATATTTTTAAATCTATGGAATAATTTTAATCCTAACAAACCCCCGTAAAATAATTATTTAAGTTTAAAATCTAAAACTAAAAGAAAGTATTTTTGTTCAATTTTAATTAAATATTAGATAATCTTAATTAAATGTTAGCTTAAAAGATTTAAACTTTTTTTTTAATTTTTGATTTTTTTCTACTTGTAAATAATGAGCATATTTAATTTTTTTAAATTCAAACTTTTATTTCAACTGCGTGCGGTTTTTAAAATACTTTATTAAAAGTTAAAATATTCGTAAATTACTTCATTAAAATTCCGCTCAAAAATATCTTTAAATATACTCAAACAAAAAATTTTTTGCTCGACGCAAATAGCCCTAGCTACACGCAAAATCGCTCTTGGACGACGTAAAATTCACATCGCCCGACGCTTTATCGCAAGGCCTGATATATATATATATATATATATATATATATATATATATATACAGTAGCGTTTAAAGGTTTTGAACAAATAATTATTATCTAAATAATATTTTTAAATTGGTATACAAATCAACGGTCTTTGATAAGTTCAAAAATTTGCGGACAAAGCATTATTTTTTAAAATAGTTAAAATATTTCAACAATATTTGATCAAAATTTTTGCAAAAGCAAAATCACATTAGTATTTTGTAGGATATCCTTTACAATCAAGAATAGCTTGGCATCTATGAGGCATAGAGTCAAATAAATTAATGCAAACGTCAATGGGAATTAAGTCCCATAGTTCTTTGATTTTATTAAATAAATCAGCATAATTTGTAGGCTTAATTCCTTTCATTTGACGGTCAACAAGTTCCCATAAATGTTCAATGGGATTTAAGTCAGGTGATTGGGATGGCCACTTCAAAACATTAACTTTACTCTCTTCAAAAAACTCTAAAACCAATTTAGCTGTATGTTTGGGATCGTTATCCTGTTGGTAAATCCATCCTCGAGGCATTTTATCCTTTGCATATGGTAACATAATAGTCTTACATATATCTTTGTACTTTTCTTGATTCATATTCTCGGTAATTCTATGGAGAGGACCAACTCCCTTTCGGCTAAAACATCCCCAAACCATTACATTACCTCCTCCATGTTTTACGGTAGGCAGTTGGTATTTAGGATTGTACCTATTACCTACTGGACGTCGAACATACCAGATTCCATCTGATCCAAACAGCATAAATTTGCTTTCGTCACTAAAAAGAATTTTTGACCATTTTTGACTACTCCACTTTAGATGCTTTATTCTGAAGTTACGGTTTTTCAAGGAAACTAATGGTTTTTTAGCTGGGCGTCTTCCAAACAAATTAGCGTGACGTAAACGACGTTTTATAGTAGAAATACTACAATTCATTCCATAGAAATGTCTCATTTGTACGTTTAAATCGACAGCTGTCAAACGGGGATTTTCTTTGCTTAGT